AAGTTTCCTCAACACTTACTACAACAGAACTACAACACTCCTACAACAACACTACAACACCCCTCACAACACTCCTACAACAACACCACACAACACTCCCCCACAACACTCCTACAACAACACTACAACACTCCCCTACAACACCCTACAACAACACTACAACACCCCCTACAACACTCCTACAACAACACTACAACACCTTCTACAAACACTACACACTCTCACAACACCCTACAACAACACTACAACACCCCTACAACACTTACAACAACACTACAACACTCTCACAACACCCTACAACAACACTACAACACTCCCCTACAACACTCCTACAACAACACTACAACAATCCCTACAACACTCCTACAACAACACTACAACACTCCCCTACAACACTCCTACAACATCACAACACTCCCCTACAACACTCCTACAACAACACTCAACACTCCCACAACACTCCTACAACAACACTACAACACTCCTACAACAACACTACAACACCCCTACAACACTCCTACAACAACACTACAACACCTCTCACAACACTCCTACAACAATACTACAACACTCCCCTACAACACTCCTACAACAGCACTACAACACCCCTCACAACACTCTACAACAATATTACAACATCCCTACAACACTCCTTACAACAACACTACAACACCTCACAACAATATTACAACATTCTCACAACACTTCTACAACAACACTACAACACCCCTACAACACTCCTACAACAACAACACTACAACACTCCCACAACAACACTACAACATTCCCCTACAACACTCCTACAACAACACTACAACACTCCTCCAACACTCTACAACAACACTACAACACTCCTCACAACACTCCTACAACAGCACTACAACATCTCCTCTACTCCGGCTAAAAAGCTTTACGGCTCAACTTACACTTATAAAAGTATTAAGTAACAGCTCATATATACTTACATAAAACAATTTATATGAAAACCTAAGCGAGTCTGTCTCTGGGGAGGCACTTGAAGCTGAGTGTCTTGGAAGAAAGCTTTGAGGAAAGTTCAAGGAAGAGCCTCTGGAGGAAGCCCTGAAGGAGAGTAGTGGCCCTGAAGGAGGGTGAAGGACGTCCTGAAGGAGAGTAGTGAAGGAAGCCCTGATGGGAGAGTAGGAAGGAAGCCCTGATGGGAGAGTAGTGAATGAAGCCTGAAGGGAGAGAGGAATGAAGCCTGAAGGAGAGTAGTAAGGAAGCCCTAAGGGAGAGAAGGGAATGAAGCCCTGATGGGAGAGTAGTGAATGAAGCCCTGAAGGAGAGTAGTGATGAAGCCCTGAAGGAGAGTAAAGGAAGCCCTGAAGGGAGAGTAGTGAAGGAAGCCCTGAAGGGAGAGTAGTGAAGGAAGCCCTGAAGGGAGAGTAGTGAAGGAAGCCCTGAAGGGAGAGTGGTGAAGGAAGCCCTGAAGGGAGAGTAGTGAAGGAAGCCCTGAGGGAGAGTAGTGAAGGAAGCCCTGAAGGAAGGAGAGTAGTGAAGGAAGTGAAGGAAGCCCTGAAGGGAGAGTAGTGAAGGAAGCCCTGAAGGGAGAGTATTGAAGGAAGCCAGATGGGAGAGTAGTGAAGGAAGCCCTGAAGGGAGAATAGTGAAGGAAGCCCTGAAGGGAGAGTAATGAAGGAAGCCCTGAAGGGAGAGTATTGAAGGAAGCCAGAAGGGAGAGTAGTGAAGGAAGCCCTGAAGGGAGAGTGGTGAAGGAACCCCTGAAGGGAGAGTAATGAGTGAAGCCCTGAAGGGAGAGTGGTGAAGGAACCCCTGAAGGGAGAGTAATGAGTGAAGCCCTGAAGGGAGAGTAGTGAAGGATGTCCCCTATAGTTGGGTCAGCCGCGGGACTCGAACCAGAGGACAATTGAGTCAGGAGGTGAGTGAGTGAATAAACTTAACCTAACCTAACCTAACCTAACCTAACCTAACCTAACCTAACCTAACCTAACCTAACCTAACCTAACCTAACCTAACCTAACCTAACCTAACCTAACCTAACCTAACCTAACCTAACCTAACCCAACCTAACTTAACATACCCTAACCTAGACAAACTTAACGCAATCTAACCCACCTGGCCAAGTTCACCAAGGGAAGGTTTGCGACGAGAGATGAGACTAGATGCAAGGTGAGGGGGTGAGAGGTGAGGGGGTGAGAGGTGAGGGACAGGTGTGTGCTGTCTACCTTCCTCACTCCACCACCTGCTCTGTATTGAATCTACACCAGGTGGCTGGACTGAGGGGAAAGCCGAGGGGAGCAGATGGTTTGTGAGGGGAGGGAACGAGGAGAGAGGCAAGGAGGGCAAGAAATGGTGGGGAGAGGATAGGAGGAGAGGGGAGGAGACGTGGGGAGGGGATGGAAGAGGAAGAAGGTTCGAGTTTTCTTGTGAATCTGACAAGGAAATCCAACACTCTGAGTAGAAAGTATTTGTGTTGGGTACGCTGGTAAAGTGTTATCGCATCGGATGGTCCTGGGTTCGAATCCCAATTGAGAAAGAAATGTACGATTTATATCCAGTTTCCTACACTATACATTAGTCCAAACTTAATTCACTAACACTTGTAAACTCTACTTCTAATTTATCCATTATAACAGCATCATCAGCAAAAAGTAACTGACTCATCTCCCTAACTCTTCTTCTAGTAAATCCTTCTGGTCCTTAACCAAAAACATCTGTAATAACTCCTGCACTCCCTCTTTTCCTCCTCTCTTCTGACCTGTTAACTCTATAGCCAACTCTCCCCTTGATAAAGTCAATCTCTTTGGCACCTTATTCTCCTCTAACTCCACCTTTGGGAGTACTGCTCTCATATCTGGGCTGGCTCTTCTTCTGTTCAACTGTTAGATAGGGTGGAATCAAAGGCATTTCGTCTTATTAACTTTCCTCCCTTAGTTGATAATCTTTCTTCCCTTTCTCTTCGCCGCAATGTTGCTTCACTCTCTTTCTCGTTTACAGGTACTTTAAAGGGCAATGTTTGGTGGATTTGGCATCCTGTGTACCGCCGGCAAGGCCGTGGGCTTGTAACACTCGTCTTGCCCGCGGTGCCCACCGTTTCTCTGTGGATGTCGGTCACACTATAATAACCCGTTATAGTACCTCCTTCTTTCCTCACACAGCCAAACTGTGGAATGCTCTGCCTTCTTCTGTGTTTCCATACTCATACAATCCCTTTCACTTTAAAAAGCTGGTTTTCCGGCATTTTCATGGTGTAGATTAATATGGTCTTTTGTTTTCTATTTTTAATTTGTATTTACTTTTATTGTTTGCCACCCCCAGGCCCCGTTGTGGGTCGATGACCTGTGCCCGGGTGGGTTATTCTCCGTAAAAACAAAAAAAAAAACAAAAAAAAATTGTGCCTCTCTCTTATCAGTCACTCTTCCTTCTAGCCGTCTCACTACACCATCCATAGAGGTACGTGGCTCACTCTCCCCAATACAAAACAGTAGTCAATAGTCTCCCATTCACCATCTACTTTTTGTTAATACTTCCCATTAATGAACAACCATAGTAGTGTCACTAGTTACATATTGACCCTATCGTGGCAACAGTTCGCGGGCAGGGTTGTATCCGCTCAAGTGATATTATTATTGTTGTTGTTAGTCATTGTTGTTACTGTTAGTTAGTGTTGTTAGTTATTGTTGTTGTTGTTGTTAGTTATTGTTGTTGTTATTATTATTATTATTATCGTAAACTGAGACACAGACACACTTAGCAGACACAAAGCAACAAACTCGTGTCTCTCCCTCTCACTGTGTGGCTGGCAGAAGGCATCATAAATCACACACCTCCCGCAGAGAGACCACATACACCCATCAACATAATAGATGACTCTCTATCTCTCTTTCTCTCTCTTCACTCCATTATCTTTATTCTCTCTTTTTCTCTTAATCTATTTTCACCTCATTTTTTTTCTTTCTTTCTCACATCATTCCCTCTTCACTCTTCGCTTCCTGGTTTCGCTCTCTCTCTCTCTCTCTCTCTCTCTATTGTACATTGTATTGTTTATCTACACTAAAAATAAATACAATATAAATGTATGAAATGTAGTAGCAGTTCCCATAAGCATTTACTAACATTTGTAATATTGTAATTCAGGTGATATTAAATGGTATATAATAATTCCCTTAAGATAAATGTAGAGTTTTATATATCAGATGCTGCCAACAGTGTCCAGGCTATCACTAGAAGGGGTACAGCCATGTTATTGTTCACGTTGTATCTCGATTTTTCTGTCTAAATAAATTGTTTCAGTTTCAATTTCCTCCTCCTCTTCTCTGACCTATCTCTCCTCCTCCTCCTCACTTCTCCCTCTCTCCTCCTTCTCTCCTCTCCTCCTCCTTTCCTCTCCCTCTCCCCTCCTCTCCACTTCGCTAGGTAAAGCTGGCGAGGCTCTGAGTGCTGACCTAATTAGCTGCTTAAATGCTCTCAGGTAGGTGGGCGCAAGAGCTGGTGCCTCCCAGGTGTGTGTGGGGGGGGAGGCGACGACGATTAATGACCATCACGAGTGGGAGGAGGGGTAGAAGGAAGAGAAAAGGGAGGGGAGAGGGAAAGGAAGGAGAGGGTGGGGGATGGAGAGGGGAGGGAGAGGGAGGAGGGGGAGGGAAGAGGGAAGAGGGGAGAGAGGGAGGAAGATTCATGACTGTCACGAGTGGAAAGTAGAGGAGGAGGGGGGGAAGAGGAGGAGGAGGGGGGAAGAGGGGGGAAAGTGACGGAGAATGGGGATAATGATGGGGTGGAAGGGGGGAGGAGGATAGGGGAGAAGGAAAGGGACGAGAAGAATAGAGAGGGAAGATTAATGACAGCACAAGTAGAAAGTAACATAATACGAGTTGGTTAAAGAAATACATGTATATATAACAGTGAGAGAGAGAGAGAGAGAGAGAGAGAGAGAGAGAGAGAGAGAGAGAGAGAGAGAGAGAGAGAGAGAGAGAGAGAGAGAGAGAGAGAGAGAGAGAGAGAGAGAGAATAATACCCAACTTTATAAAACCTTGTGGTGTCACCAACCTAACCTAACCTAACCTAACCTAACCTAACCTAATAAGGTTACTGGTGATAAAACATAAAATTTAAGTAAAAGATGGCGGCCAGTTAACACCGAGACTCTATCTTAATAAAACACGCTCACTTTAAACACTAAATTACTGGACTAAATTAACGCACAGAACCTTATTGTTACTAAGAGTTTTACTTTATGGGAGAGAAAGTTAAGATTAACACACACACACACACACACACACACACACACACACACACACACACACACACACACAGAGCAATTTAAATGAGTATACACATGGTAAATATATACACACACAGACAAAGATACACACAACAAATTGGAGGCAACAAGAGTGTACACAGAGGGAAAAACTACAGAAAACAAAGTGCACACAACAGCAAATTGGACACAACACAACCACCGAGGCATCTTGAGCGAAGGGGGGTTGATGGGGAGGAAGATCGGAGAGCTGAATGGTTAGTTGGGGAGGATGTTTGGGGAGTAAGGTTGGGGAGAATGAAGTTGCTGGCTGTGTGGATGACTGGAGGAGGCTGGGGGAAGTAAGCTGACTGGCTGGCTGAGGATGGAGGGTGGGTGGGGTATCGGTTGGGTGGGGTGTCGGTTGGGTAGAGGGGTCCCGGGATAAAACTGCGCCTTCATCATCATGACGGTGTTGTTGAGGCGCCATCACAAGGCCGCCAACTCCAACAAGTGGCCCACCACCACCACCAACACCAACACCACCACCACCACCACCATCCCATCTCCCGGTAAATGAAAAGTAGACATCGTGACCCAACACACGAGGAAGAGTTGGATTGTCCGGAGCAACACAAGGTGAGGAATTCTCGCCGTCTCCTCCACTTATCTTCTTCCTTCTCCTGACAGCAGCGAATAAAAGGAAATATCTCAGTTACTTTTGTTTTGCTTTGTAGGTTTAGATGTAAGTCATGGACCTTTTTATGTTGTTGTTTAGGTGGGGGAGGGGAGGGGAGGATGGGGTAGTCTCAGGGTATATGGGTGGGGAAATTGAGAGGGTGGGGGTTGGTGGGTGCTGGGGTTGTATGGTTTGTGTTGAAGGAGGGGGTGGCTGCTCTGTGTTGAAGGAGGGGGTGGGGCTGGCTCTGTGTTGAAGGAGGGGTGGGGCTGGCTCTGTGTTGAAGGAGGGGGGTGGGCTGCTCTGTGTTGAAGATGGGGTGGGGCTGGCTCTGTGTTGAAGATGGGGTGGCTGGCTTGTGTTGAAGGAGGGGGTGGGGCTGGCTCTGTGTTGAAGGAGGGGTGGGCTGCTCTGTGTTGAAGGAGGGGGTGGGCTGGTTCTGTGTTGAAGGAGGGGGTGGGCTGGCTCTTGTGTTAAGGAGGGGGGTGGCTGGCTTTGTGTTGAAGGAGGTGACTGGCTCTGTGTTGAAGGAGGAGGGGGTGGACTGGCTCTTGTTGAAGAGGGGGGTGGCTGGCTCTGTGTTGAAGGAGGGGGGTGGGCTGGCTCTGTGTTGAAGGAGGGGGTGGGTTACCCCAGTGTTGAAGGAGGGGGTGGGCTGGCTCAGGGTTGAAGGAGGGGGTGGGCTGGCTCTGTGTTGAAGGAGGGGGTGGGCTGGCTCTGTGTTGAAGGAGGGGGTGGGCTGGCTCTGTGTTGAAGGAGGTGGCTGGCTCTAAAGGAAGGAGGGGGTGGGCTGGCTCTGTGTTGAAGGAGGGGTGGCTGGCCTGTGTTGAAGGAGGGGTGGGCTGGCTCTGTGTTGAAGGAGGGGGGTTGGCTCTGTGTTGAAGGAGGGGGGTGGCTGGCTCTGTGTTGAAGGAGGGGGTGGGCTGGCTCTGTGTTGAAGGAGGGGTGGCTGGCTCTGTGTTGAAGGAGGGGGTGGGCTGGCTCTGTGTTGAAGGAGGGGGTGGGCTGGCTCTGTGTTGAAGGAGGGGTGGGCTGGCCCTTGTTGGAAGGAGGGGGTGGGCTGGCTCTGTGTTGAAGGAGGGGGGCTGGCTCTGTGTTGAAGGAGGTGGGCTGCCTGTGTTGAAGGGAGGGGTGGCTGGCTCTGTGTTGAAGGAGGGGGTGGGCTGGCTCTGTAAGGAGGGGGTGGGCTGGCTGGTCTGTGTTGAAGGAGGGGGTAGGCTGGCTCTTGTGTTGAAGGAGGGGGTGGGGTCCTGTGTTGAAGGAGGTGGGCTGGCTCTGTGTTGAAGGAGGGGGGCTGGTTTCTTGTGTTGAAGGAGAGGGGTGGGCTGGCTTGTGTTGAAGGAGGGGGTGTCTGGTTCTGTGTTGAAGGAGGTGGGCTGGCTCTGTGTTGAAGGAGGGGTGGCTGGCTCTGTGTTGAAGGAGGGGTGGGCTGGCTTTGTGTTGAAGGAGGGGGGGGGCTGGCTCTGTGTTGAAGGAGGGGGTGGGCTTGGCTCTGTGTTGAAGGAGGGGTGGGCTGTCTGTGTTGAAGGAGGGGTGGGTTGGCTCTGTGTTGAAGGAGGTGGGGTGCTGGCTTGTGTTGAAGGAGGGGTGGGCTGGCTCTGGTGTTGAAGGAGGGGGTGCTGGCTCTGTGTTGAAGGAGGGTGGGCTGGCTCTGTGTTGAGAGGTGGGTTGCTTGTATGAGGGGGTGGGCTGGTTTACACTGAGAGTCATGGATACACGCTGTCTTGGGTCATGAATATTTTATGAAGAAGGTATTGAATTTTCACGAGCGGGGTGGAGGAAAGGATGGAGGGAGAGGAGTTGGGGGTGGGTGGTTGGTGATGGGTGGTGGTGGGTGTGGGGTTTTGGTTGGTTGGTGGTGGTGGTTGGTGAGGGTGGTAGGTGTGGGTGGGTAATGGTGATGGGGATTGTGGGTGGTGGGTAGTGGAGGAGATATAGAAGTGTTGTTGGGTGTTGAGGCTACGCCCCCTCCCTCTGCCTTCTTCTGTCTCCTCATGAATTTTTCTAGAATGCTCCGGTGTCCTCAAGAGCAGTAGGATAAGGATGAGGAGCGATGCTACGTCCTTCCTGTGTCCTTCTTCCATTCACTCTCTCTTGGGGACCGATGGTGTCGTGGGACCATCTAGAATACCACAACATCCTAGAGATGGATCCTCCAGAGGCAGCAGCAGGGAGCAGAAGGAAGTGGTGATGCTACGCCCTCTGAATGTCTTCTCTTCCCTCGCTCACTCTTCCCCACGAGTCGACAGTGTTCCTGGCCTTCTAGAATGCCATGATCCTACAGAAATCCTGCGTTAAGGAGCTTTGGGGACAGGGAGGTGGAGAGCCTCGGTTATGTAATCTCCTGACCATTCCCAGGAAAGTCCTCCAGACCAGAGATAAACTTAGACCAGATCTCCGAGGACTGATTGCCAGCGGGAGTTTGGTCACGTAGACTTGGCAGGATATTCTGAGAAATGAATTTTGTATAAAGTATGAAAATCAGGGTGAGGATGGCCGATGATGAAGTTTCGTTATGAAGTTTCATTGGGTGAATTTCGCTAACTTTAGTCGATGGAAAATATCGTTAAGTTCTGGATCGATACGCGAGTTTCGCCCCGGCAAGTTAACTCCTGTGACCTTGACCTTCACGAAAGGGACAGAGGGTTGTCTATTGTACAGCTTCTCATGACTCTTATTAGTCATTACTTGAAGAAACTTTCATGAAATTACCTTCACAAGTCTCAAAATTTTAGCCCGGACAAAGAGTGTGACGCTGAGGTGTTACGTCCGCCATTATTCCATTACCCCACCACCCCATCTCCCCACTGCCCCATCACCTCCACTGCCCCATCACCTCCCATCGCCCCCATCACCTCCCACTCACCCCATCACCTCCCTGCCCCATCACCTCCCACTGTCCCCCTCCCATCACCTCCACGCCCCATCACCCCACTGCCCCACTCACCTCCCACTGCCCCATCACCTCCCCACTGCCCCATCACCTCCCACTGCCCCATCACCTCCCACTGCCCCATCACCTCCCACTGCCCCATCACCTCCCACTGCCCCCATCACTCCCACTGCCCCATCACCTCCCACTGCCCCGTCATCCCTCCAACACCCCATCACCTCCCACTGCCCCATCACCTCCCACTGCCCCATCACCTCCCACTGCCCCATCACCTCCCACTGCCCCATCACCTCCCACTGCCCCCATCACCACCCACTACCCATCACCTCCCACTCACCCCATCACCTCCCACTGCCCCATCACCTCCCACTCCCTTCATCCCCACTGCCCCATCACTCCCCACTGCCCCATCATCCTCCAACACCCCCATCACCTCCCACTGCCCCCATCACCTCCCATGCCCCATCACTCCCACTGCCCCATCACTCCCACTGCCCCATCACCTCCCACTGCCCCATCATCCCTCCTCCAACACCCCCATCACCTCCCACTGCCCCATCACCTCCCCACTGCCCCATCACCTCCCACTGCCCCCATCACCACCACTCCCCATCACCTCCCACTGCCCTTCACTCCACTGCCCTTCACCTCCCACTGCCCCATCATCCCTCCAACACCCCATCACCTCCCCACTGCCCCCATCACCTCCCATTACCCCATCACCCTCCAACAACCCCATCACCTCCCACTGCCCCTCATCACCCCACTGCCCCCATCACCACCCACTGCCCCATCACCCCACTGCCCCCATCACTCCCACTGCCCTATCACCCAACAACCCCATCACCCACTGCCCCATCACCACCCACTGCCCCATCACCTCCCACACCCCATCACCTCCCACTGCCCCATCACCTCCCATTACCCCATCACTTCCACTGCCCCATCACCTCCCACTGCCCCATCACCCCCATTACCCCATCACTCCCACTGCCCCCATCACTTCCCACTGCCCTATCACCCTCCAACAACCCCATCACCTCCCCACTGTCCCCATCACCACCCACTGCCCCATCACCCCCATTACCCCATCACCTCCCACTGCCCCATCACCCCTCCCAATACCCCATCACCTCCCACTGCCCCATCACCCCACTGCCCCCCATCCCCACTGCCTCCATCACCTCCCACTGCCCCATCACTTCCCACTGCCCCTATCACCCTCCAACAACCCCATCACCCCACTGCCCCATCACCACCCATTGCCCCATCACCCCACTGCCCCATCACTTCCCACTGCCCTATCACCCTCCAACAACCCCATCACCACCCACTGCCCCATCACCTCCCACTGCCCCATCACTCTCCTACTGCCCATCCTACCCCTATCACCTCCCACACCCCATCACCTCCCACTGCCCCATCACCTCCCATTACCCCATCACCTCCCACTGCCCCCATCACCTCCCACTGCCCCATCACCTCCCACTGCCCCCATCACCTCCCACTGCCCCATCACTTCCCACTGCCCTATCACCCTCCAACAACCCCATCACCTCCCACTGCCCCCATCACCACCCACTGCCCCATCACTCCCATTACCCATCACCACTGCCCCATCACCTCCCAATGCCCCATCACCTCCCATAACCCCATCACCTCCCACTGCCCCCATCACCTCCCACTGCCCCATCACCTCCCATTACCCATCACCTCCCACTGCCCCATCACCTCCCCATTACCCCATCACTCCCCACTGCCCCCATCACCTCCCCACTGCCCCCATCACCTCCCACTGCCCCCATCACCTCCCACTGCCCCACTTCCCACTGCCCCATCACCCCTCCAACAACCCATCACCTCCCCACTGCCCCCATCACCACCCACTGCCCCATCACCTCCCCATTACCCCATCACCCCACTGCCCCCATCACCTCCCACTGCCCCCATCACCTCCCACTGCCCCATCACTTCCCACTGCCCTATCACCCTCCAACAACCCCATCACATCCCACTGCTCCCATCACCTCCCACTGCCCCACCACCTCCCACTGCCCCATCACCTCCCATTACCCCATCACCTCCCACTGCCCCCATCACCCCACTGCCCCATCACCTCCCACCGCCCCATCACTTCCCACTGCCCATCACCTCCCAACAACCCCATCACCTCCCACTGCCCCATCACCTCCCATTACTCCATCACCTCCCACTGCCCATCACCTCCCACTGCCCCATCACCTCCCATTACTCCATCACCTCCCACTGCCCCATCACCTCCCACTGCCCCATCACCTCCCATTACTCCATCACCTCCCACGCCCCATCACCCTCCAACACACCAATCCTCTTCCTGCGACTCCAAAATTGTTCGTTTAATTTTTCATGGAGGTAATTGCCTGACGCTGATGGTACGTATGACGGGGGAGAGAAGGGAGGGAGGAGGAAAGGAGGAGGAGATGAGAGGAAAAGAGGATGCTTCAATGAATAACAGATGGGATCTCATGGGGAGGGTGGTGGTGGTGAGTTGCAGTCGTGGTGGTGGTGGTGTGGTTGTGGTGGTGGTGGTGGTGGTGATGGTGGTGGTGGTAGTGATGGAGATAGTGGTGGAGGTGGTAGTGGTAATAGTTAGTAGAAGTATTAATGGTAGTGGGAGTGGTGATTCTCTCTCTCTCTCTCCTCTTTGCATCCTCTTCCCTTTTGCTTCCATCCTCCTTATCTTCTTTCCATCCTTCTCTGTTATCACTTATTCCTTTACACTTTCACCTCCATCCTTCTCCCCCTTCCTTATCACCCCTACCCTATCCCTGCCTCTCTTCCTCTCCCTTCATTCCTTCTCCCTATCCTACCCCTCTTTACTCTCCTTCTTCCTTCTGACAACCCTTTCTTCCCCCTCTATTCATTCCCTTATCGCCCATCCTCCTTCCTCCCTTCATCAATCTCCTCTCCCTTCTCTCCTCCATTCATCTCCTTTTTCTCTCTTTCTCACCTTCCTCCTTCCCTGAGTCTGTCCTTTTTCTTCCTCCTTCTCCCATTTCCTTCCTTCACCATATCTCTTTATCTTATCCCCTCTCTCTCCTTCCCTTCACCCCCTATCATCTCTCCCACCATCATCACCCACCTCTCTCTCCTCCCCTCATCTCCCTGCATCATCACCCCCTTCTCTCCCTCCCCCAACTCACCGTACCCCCCCTACCCCATCCCTCCGTCTCCCCCATTACCTCAGTTCTCACTCAGGACGAAAGGCGTGTGAGTAAACCTGAGTGGCAGCTGAGATAACTGCCTCTCTCTCTCTCCTCTCTCTCTCTCTCTCTCTCTCTCTCTCTCTCTTCTCTCTCCACAAGCTCCTACTTCAAATTTCTCCTAAAGTGTGTTTGTGTGTCGCTTGCTAATACACACTCAGTATGAAGTCTGAGATACACTCGGGTTTTATTCTCAAAAGTTTCCCAATTTAAATTTCCCTCCCAAGTTAACATTTCACATAATTTATTAAAACAGTGACAGAAAATATTTATACTCAAAAGTTTACTAAGTTATATTTTCCCTCTTAAGTAAATCACATCTCAGAGACTTACTAAGACGTAGTTGGAATTAATATG